TATAAAATAATATACAGTAAGTGTGTATTGTAGTTTTATGACAATAGATTTAGCAGTAGCTTAGAGTAGTTACTTAGTTTATTTTATGATACTTATCATGTATTGTTTTTCAGAATAGTGTATTTGATTTTACTTGGATTATGCTTGTTCTTTTGATTGATCATTAGCATTGCAACTCATATTACTAATGCATTAGAGATCTTGTTTACAGGAGAAGACATTTACAATGATCAAGTGTCAAGTATTAGGCGTTATTGTTTTAATTTAACTGATTGTTTCATATTTGAAATGTCGGGAGACATTTTTCTCTAAGAGGGGGAGAATGTCACAGGGTGAATAAATTTGTATTATAATTAATACTGTATAACTTATTTATTAATAATATGTGACCTAATATACTAATTATTTCATTACCATCATCATAATCATCTTCACATATACAGCATAGTAAATTACAGTCCTCTGGAATTTACTATGTGTTCAGCCATTCATGAAGTTATTCATTGATATTCATGGGGTTGAATGCCCATTGGTTAGTTTGGGAGTGTGAAAGGTCAAACGTGTGCGGCTTGAAGGTGTATGATTGGTTGATATTTTAGTGTGAGAAATGTGTGAGTGGTTTTACTACTTTGGAACCAAATACGCATGCTTGGCGCCAAACACCCTTAATAACTCACTCCACCGGCCCTAAGACAGTCGGAGGGAAGGAAGAGTAAATCTCCTCTCCATATACATAAAGTCATTTTGAACATTTAATAATGACAAATTAAACCTTTCTGTTCGGTAAGAATTAATTTACCACCGTTGCTTTGAATAAGTTAAATACCTTATGAATTAATTATCTAATTAAAGACAACAGTTGAAATCTCCTAAACGAATTAAATGTGTGAGTGTTAGTGTATGAGTGTATTCATTTATTTTACAGGTCACCTTTTTACTTATTATTCTTATTATATTGATCATCAAAAGTAATTGAAATAGAGAAATACAAAAGAACCCACCAGCCGTTGTTGTTTATTCAATTCATGGAGTAAAATATATTGCGGCTGTGACATAATTAACAATTTTTTGTTTGACCACAGAAACTAATGACGTTACGCGATGCTGGTGTGATTTCACAATTTTAGTGACTGAGAATTCTTAAGAATTGTAAAATTACCGCTTTTTGAACTGCTTATATTGTTTGTGGCCGATTTGATGCTTTGCATCAATTTTAATAGTTGGTATCTTGATAAACAGTTTGTTCATGCGGCTAAGGTCAATTCATAGATGCAATCATTTGATATCATGCATTGCATTTATTTGAAGATCCTTATATATGAAATTTATGGAGATAATATATGAATAGTATTCAAGCTGAAAAGTCCATTTATTTATTCAAAATAGAATAGAAGCAGAGCAAGCACGGACCTACATCAGGTGCCATGGAGGAGTGAGCATCCCACTGCCAAACGGTCACACCTGCCCAGTGCTCTTAGTCATAATCGCCATTCGGGAAATAACGGAAAAATCTATCGACAATTCGGTGTGTAAATAATGGCCTAATAATAAGAAAAACGTCAGTTAGGATACTGACTCATTGATCAATTGTACTCGCTGACAGGGTCATTGTATAGACCATAAAACTTACGAAAATGATGACTTTAAACGAGACTGTTGATTATATGATATTCTTGTTTCTTAAGCTTGTTCAACATTTAAGATTATTACTTCATATCAAATCAGAAATAATATAATAAATTCTTGTGTTCTTGCTCAACAAAATGCTGAGGATTCTTCTCACATTTCTTGTGTTTAAAAATTAATGAAATTTTCACAGAATCAAGAAGACAATATCACTAAGTGATGGTATCAGTGAGATTAAATTTGACCGTTTAATATTAGAGGCAAGGTCAGGTCAAGGTCATTACCTTTTACCTGGACATTAAGAATAAAAAATTACTGTTTCCAATCATGCGATCCCTACTTGTAATTCAAAAGATTGAATGTTTTTCTTTTTGCATAAAAAGATACTATCATATAGGGCATATAAGATGATATTACCAAACTGACATGGATAATTTAAAAAAAGGGATATTTGCTAATCCGAATTCCCTCTACTTTTCTTAAATTTTTAGGATTTATTAGTTATTTTTATATGCTTCCTATATTTAATTTTTTCTATTTTCACATTTAGTAAAGTTGTCACATAAAGGTACAAAATGATACAAAAACTAAAAGATTTGATCGTTTACTACGAGAGAAATAGACGTTGCGCACAGAATTCGGGCTGATTTTGTAACGTCAAAATATACTTGTCTTACGTTATTGCATACGTCGTTTAAGCGTAAAAACGTCAAAAATCCAAGACGTAACAAATCAGACTAGACATTCAATTTTTGCTCCTGTTTTCTTAAAAATGTCTTACTTTTTAATGGTTCTTTAAACACAAAATTTTATTAATTTGCACATTTTGAAAATAACATTTTATCTGTTAAAAGTTTTCCCAGAAAATAGAGAATACAGCTCACATTTGGTGTTATACGCCCGGTTAAATACCATAATACGCATATTTGTGTCGTAGTAACAAAACCGACTAGACATCAAAATCGCTCTATTAATTTCCCCTACTGCTTGCTTATAATTTTTTAAAGAAACATTTGACTACTTCTTGATTTGCACATTTCATTTATCTACTTAGTTTTACAAAAAGAACCTGTTATATGGTAAAAAAAAATTATCAAACATTATATCTTTTATTGTAACTTGTCAATATTACGGCATGTTATGGATCGCTTCCTATTTTACAAACAGTCGGAACAGTCCGTAAATTAGAAATTTATTGATGAATATTGTGTGACATCATCAAAGGAAGTTATAGAAGCTTGGTACACATTGCCAGAAAAATCAATGTAGCCAAAACGATAAAATGACCAAAAATACCAACGCCCGTCGTTTACAGTTTTACAAGTTACGCAATTTCAAACCCCAATACTATGCACGACGTCATCACACTTTTTACGGATTTTTGGCTCAAATCTGTACTTGGATTTAAAGCATTTAAAAGCCAACATAGTTCTAGTATGTGTGAAAAATCTTATTTATTTAATATATTTTGAAACTTTAGTCCCTTATAATTAATTTAACTAACATTTGAAAATTTCATCTAGTCTTGATTGCATAAAAATTATAACTAAATTCAATGTTCTATAATAATTTTGAGAGGCAGAAAAGAAGATATTTTCATACGCCACCATTCCGCCAAAAATATAGTCCCTGCTAGTTTTCAAACGCAGTTAACCATTTCTATTTAAAGTTGTATAATTGTGATGAGGAAAGAAAATTATGGTCTTTTAAATCTCTTGCATCTAAATATAAATGACATATCAACAAAGGTACTTTGAATATTCCATCTAGTCAGAAACCAGAGAAGAATCCTACCTTAACATGCAAGATAATAATGTTAGTACGCGAGTTAATATTTACGTATGTATGTTGACAGGATACTTATTAACTTCGATGTTGACATGAATTTCTTGTATATATGTAAAATATAACTTGCACATTGACATAAATAAGTCGCATGTTGAAATTAATATCTTCCATGCTGAAATATTCATCTGGGATATTAACATAAATAAGCTGCATGTCAATATAATTGCGTTGCTTGTTAACATAAATAAGTCATATGCTGACAAATATCTTGCACGTTAACATAGATACGTCACATGTCTAAACGATTCCGTTGCATCTTGCTTCTCTTTTGTCGTATATAATCGCGATAGTAAGTTTACAAAATTTTAAATTAGATTCCCTAAAAAAATATTGGATTGCATTTTAACAAAACTATTACTCATATAGGCAAAAGTATCTTTCATGTTGACATATCTTTCTCTCATGTTAAGATAATTAATTTTGCATGTATGCCACCATAGAAATGACTAAAACCAAGAAAAATATAATTATGCATATCATTTTATTAAAAAAGTATACGTCTTTATTATAGGATGTCAAAAAGACTGAATTTTTTTGGTATAGATTGTATAAAGTTCTGAAAATTTTCTTTTAAATAATACAATTTTTTGTAAAACAATTATTCTCTGTCATTAGATTGTCATTCGAATATTATTCACTGAATACATTGTAGATGAACAAAAGAATCATTTAGTATATCTTCCAGCCGGAGAACGAAGTCCAGTTTTCTCTGGCATAAGCTGCCAGGTACCCAGAAGCAATATCAACCCTGTCTCCCTTCTTCAGACGAACAAAAATCGTGTTCGAACCGCTACTCCAAACACTCTGTGAAGTGTGGGAATTGTTGAATGCTGTAAATCCCTTGTAATGACCATTAACCCTCAGGTAAGGGTGAGCTGTTTTCCATGGGTCTGTCAGTGTGCACCAGGTGCAGGCATATGTTCCACCAGAAGGTGCTATAAATGTGCCTGTTACCTTGTTGTATGCATTGCCTTCGTTTAAAAGAACTTTATCATGGATCCATGTTTCATGTAGTTTGTAACTTTTAGCTTTAGACTGATAAGCTGAAAACGCAACATGGTCTGAAACAAATAAGTAAAATCAACAGATAAATGTTTATCATTTTCTTAGCAGAGATTCGATTCTCTGGTCTGTACAACTTCTAAATGAATAATAACTTAAAAAAAAGATGTTTTCAATCCGCAAATTTATCACAATCTTCCTCGATACTTATGTTTTTCATTCATCTTTCACACAATTATAAAAATACTACATGTAATGTGTATCACTGAAGATTATTATGGTTTTAGGACAAGATTATCTTCCAAATAGAAATAAAAAAGAGAACATAGTGCATTAGTATTTTTTGACTATATTATAATCTGAGCCCCCCTTTTTTAGTTCTCTTTGATAATATCAACGCAATCTTTAGAAATCAGGGTTTCAAACCATCTCACGAGTTCGATCACTGTTCATAACCTGTTCTTTTCATTCGTTAACATTTTTATCTCGGTTGACATGATATAAGAACATACTTTTGTTGATTAACTCCTGAAAATATTTAATCGCTACTTAAGTAGAAGTACTAGTTTTCCCTATATCTTTCAAGATCAACAAACGCTTTGATAAAAAGGCTTCATTATATACGGCACATTTTAAGTTATATTTTACATCACTGAAAATTTAAAGTTCTTACTTTAATAGTTTTGCCGCTGTTTTATTTGAAAATGTAACCTAATTAAACATACCATTGTTACTGTATTCCCCTCCTTTGATGACAGAATGAAGGCCTTTCTCCAAATTGTTCGCTTGATTTTTCAAATATTGTAAAAACGACTTGTTTCCAAAGACCACTTGGATGGTCACAATATACACAATAATCATAGGGCTTCGCATCTTGTTTGAAATCTGGAGGATTTAAAAAGTGCATATAGGCTTAAAAATAATACTTTTTAATAAAAAAAAAATCAATGATAAAAGTAGTTTAGTTAACCATATTACATGTACCTGTATCTGGATAATCATTTTACGGTGTAATTGTTTCATTTGGTTTCCTCTTTTTATAACGAAATAAAATCACTGTGATTTTTAATATTTACACGCAATGAAAAATGACACCTATGCAATATAACAATATTAAATATATATAGCTTATTTCAATATGACAAATCTGCCTCGTATCTAAATATTTTACTTGAAAAGGCCAAGGAAAGTCCAATTTTTGATTCCTCGATACCAGAATATTGGCTCGGATCTGTGATAATTGGTATTGCAAATCATAGGCTTTTTAAACCTGCACGTTTTACTAAAAAAATGCAGCTAAAACAATCTGTCTTTTCCTTAAACTTCAATGAATTATGAAGACCTTAGATCATTTATTGCAAAAGGTCCTAAATATAGGGAACAAACCCCGATATTTCAACTGGCATCGGAATTTCATAAATATTATGGATTCTGTTGAAGATTACGCCAGACGATGGGCCAGGTATAAAAAAGGAGACATAATCCAGAATTGAAAAAAGGAATTAGATATATTACATGATCAGTACATGTACGTACTGGTTCCTGCGGACAAAGCAGGTAACAACATTGTCTTCGTTTGAAAGGCTCATTATATAAATTGTATATTAGAAGAACTTAGATTTAATTCTACAAGTGGTAATCCGACTTATAGTTCCCTCTCTAAGGAAAAAATTCTTCAAAATCATATGTCAGTTTTGAATATTTTTAATATCCCGAAGAACATAAATGATTTTGAACTACCATTATGTTATATATAAATTGGATTCCAAAGCTTTATAAAAATCGTTACTGACAATATCTATGTGCTTTCGGAGACCAAGTCTTCGAAAAATCTATTGGAATTCCCATGGGTACCAATTGCGCTCCGTTATTAGCAGACCTATTTTTGTATTCATATGAAGCAAAATTTGTGCAAAATCTAATGCATGAAAAGAAGAAAACACTTGTTGTGGCCTTCAACTTAACATTTAGATATACATGTATCGACGACATATTGTAAATTAACAATGGTAATTTCCATTCTAATGTCGATACGATATATCCTGGTAAGCTTGAAATAAAAGATACCACAGAGTATGATATATCTGTTTTATACTTGGATATTTTACTTGAAAAAGACGCTAATGGTAATCTAACAACCAAGCTCAATGATAAACGTAATGACTCTACTTTTCTATTGTCAACTTCCCTTACTTGTGCAGCAATATACCTTCCTCACCCGCGTACGGCGTTTATATATCTCAGTTGATTCGATACGATACACAAGAGCATGCTCTACATATGAACAATTTCTAAATCGAGGTAAATTATTAACAAACAAGTTGATGAAGCAAGAATATCAGCAGTCTCGTTTAAAGCCATCATTTCGTAAGTTCTTATGACACGGAGCAGACGGTGGGTGTGATTGGTCGGTAGAGGATGCTCTCTCTTCCAGAGTACCTGATCCCACTTTTTATGGTCAGGAGATTCTTTTTTGCTCTGCTCTTAATTTATAGTGTTCGAATGAACTCTTTGAACTTGATAATATTCGTTATCTCCTTAAAAATGTATACACTATACTACGTTTTCTTGTTTTGTTTGAAAAAAAATGCTTGAGAAAACGTTGCTCAAAAATTCTGAAAAAGCTCGAACCCAAAACATCGACCCAAACACTGAACAATCGAATGAAGGATATGGAGATAACGAACATTATTCAATATCAAAGTTCATAAAACAATACAAAATAGGAGCAAAGCAAACACGGACCTCCAAAACATCAGAAGTGGGATCAGGTGCCATGGAGGAGTGAGCATCCCCGCTGACCGGTCACAAACGCCGTGTGCTCCCTGTCATGATCGGGAAATAGCGGAAAAATCCATCGTAAATTCAATGTATAAATATTGGACTAACAATTAGTATGAAAAACGTCAGTCAGCATTTGTCTCAATGATAAATTGTATTTGTTGACAAGGTCATTGTATCGACCATAGAATTTATAAATCTGATACATTAATTTGAAACAAAATCCTATCAATTTCATTCAGTTGATTCTTGAATAACACAGCACGATCGATGGAAGCTCTGATGAAGTCAATCTGTAAATTCATTCTTTTAGATATTCGAGATCGTACATTTTCTAAATATTTGTGATTTAATATTTTATCAGTAGTTAAATTTAACCTTTGTGATTATCCATTGTCTGTTCTCCTTCATTGTACCTACTTCCGCCTCTGATGTTTAAGAGGTCCGTGTTTGCTCTGATCTTTTTGTAATATAGCAATGGGCTTTTGAGCTTGATTATTGTATGTAATCTTTATATTTGACAGCAATTTAGCCTAATTATTGTAGTTCATCAAAAGATCTACACACCAACGAGGTGTTTTAAAGAATAAGAAAGACATTGGCGTTCGATCACTGCAGTACATGTACCTTTATTTACAAAAATCGATACGAGAACTCATTCAGGGCACAGCGGTGGTTTACACACATACATAATTTGCGCTGCCTATTGTTAGATGTTCTCGTCTTTAAAAAACTCTGCAATTTAACGTTTTGTTTGTAGATAATTACGTACGAAAAATTCCAGCATTTAAATGCTATGTCCCTATTCATACTTTAGTTCCACAATCATTTCTACCGGAATGAATTCAAAACTCTTCATGTTCACACATTTCTGTCTTTTAGAGAATCTCATATTACATTAATTTCATTGATGAAAAGGAACTGTGCTTGAAACAATGCAAGGAGAGAACAAGAAAGTTAAAGAAGACTACAATCATCTATTAATTTTTACTTCCTGAAACTGATGTAATTGTTGGTATCTCTATTTTTCATTCACAATGGAGGGGAGGTATTATAGAAAACATTGGCCTGAATGCGAGGATCATGGATGGAACTATTATGGGGTAAATTTATTATTTTTTAAAATAAAAAGTATCTTTTTTAAATTCAAAGTGAAGTTTAAGATGTTCATTTAGTTTCAATTGAATTTAAATCAAAAAGAAATTGTGCAACGAAATATTTTTTTTTCTCTTCGCATATAATAAAAAGAGATTAAACGAGCTTTGAAATGGGTTTACTTAGAAACCATCTCTACACCATTGCAAAATGTTTTTTTTAATTGAGAAAATTATATTAAATAAAGGTGCAATATTGAGCTTATCTATTTAATATTCAATATATTCATAAATGTTCGTAATTTTAATATCCTGAGGAATTGTTTTTACATTCCAAAAAAATCAATTAAGTTCAAGGTGACTGATATAAAGTTTGATAAAAACTGAACTGTACTAATTGTAAAAATGGTTCTGTTTATGCCTCATAAGGTTTTTTTTTAAAATAATTGAATACACATGTTTAGGTCACAAGTCGATCTATTCATTTTGATTGAATTCTTTT